TCAATTTTTAATTTTTTCAGATTTTCAATCTTAATTTTTTTAGTTCCTCGATTTTCCAATTTTAAAATTTTTCATTTTACCACTTTTTGGATTTCGAGTTATAGAATTCTCCATTTTTTTAAATTCTTAATATTTCGATTTTGCAATACTTATTTCGTTTTCTCGATTTTTCACTTTTTCGATTTTTAAGTTTCTCAATCTAATCTTTAAAAATTAAAAAAATTTAAACTTGAAAAATCGAACAATTGAAAACCGAAAAATTGCCTATCTAAAAACTGATAAATTAAAAAATTTCACATCAAAAAAGAAAGAAAAATTATAAAATCGAGAAATTGAAAACTAGTGAATTTTTCAAAGTTTCCATTTTATACATTTTCGTTTTTTCATTTTTGTTTTTTCAATTTTACAAAAGTTGAAAAATCGAAAAATTGTAAAATGCAAAAATGGAAAATTGCAATTTTACGATTTTCCAATTTCTCAATTTTTATTTTTCGATTTTTCATTTTTTCGTTTCCTCAATTTTTACTTTTTTCAGATTTTCAATCTTAGATTTTTTATCCTTGATTTTCCAATTTTAAAATTTTTCAATTTTCCGCTTTTTGGATTTCGAGTTATAGGATTTTCCATTTTTTTTTTATTCTTAATATTTCGATTTTGCAATACTCATTTCGTTTTCTCACTTTTTCGATTTTTAAGTTTCTAAATTCTAATCTTTCGATTTTTGAATTTTGCGTTTCTTCAATTTTTCGAGTTCTCGTTTTCCAATTTTTAAATTTTTCAAATTTCCATTGTTTTTTAATTTTACGAAAGTTGAAAAATCGAAAAAGTGGAAAATCGAAAAATTACAAATCGAAGAACTGAAGAAACGAAAAATTGAAACATTGGAAAATTAAAACTAGAGGAACTTGAAAATCGAAAAACTGGAAGGAAGGAAACACGAATCTAATCGAAATATCGGAAAATCGAATAAATGAAAATTTTTTAAAAATCTAATAATTGAAAATTGAAAAAAATGAAAATTCTAAAATCGTAAAATTGAAAAAGTTAAACATTCTAAAAATTGTAATTATTATTGCATATTTGAACTCAAAATTAGAAAAATTGCAAATAAAAAAAAAACACGAAAAATTAAAAATTTTAAAACTTGAAAAATCGAACAATTGAAAACCGAAACATTGCCTATCTAAAAACTGATAAATTTAAAAATTTCACATCAAAAAAGAAAGAAAAGTTATAAAATCGAGAAATTGAAAACTAGTGAATTTTTCAAAGTTTACATTTTATACATTTTCGTTTTTTCATTTTTGATTTTTCAATTTTACAAAAGTTGAAAAATCGAAAAATTGTAAAATGCAAAAATGGAAAATTGCAATTTTACGATTTTCCAATTTCTCAATTTTTATCTCAAAAGTTGTAAAATTGAAAAATGGAAAGTCAAAAAATTGCAAATCGATGAATTGAAGAAACGAAAACTTTGGAAAATTAAAACTCGAGAACTTAAAAATCGAAAAATTGGAGAGAATGAAAAACGAATCGAATCAAAAATCGAAAAATGAAAAATTGAAAAATCGAATAAAAAAAATGAAACAGTTTTAAAATCCAAAATTGAAAATGGAAAAATTCGAAAATCGTAAAACTGAAAAGTTAACCTTTCTAAAAATTATACTTTAATTATTATTACATATTTGAAATGAAAAATGGAAAAATTTCAAATCAAAAATTGAAGAAACGGAAAATTGAAAATTCGAGAAACTGAAATCTAAAACTGAAAAAACGAAAAATTAAAAAATTAAAAAGTTAAAATCCAATAATTGAAAATGGGAAAATTGAAAAAGTTCAACACTCTAAAAATTATAGTTATTATTACATATTTGAAATGAAAATTAGAAAAATTGCAAAGCAAAAATTGAAGACACCAAAAATTAAAAAATCTAAACGTTGAAAAATCGAAAAATCGAAAAATTAAAACCCGAAAAATTGCAGATCGAAAGAAAAATTGCAAAATCCAAAAACTGTAAAATTTCACATCGAAAAAAAAAAGAATTTATAAAATCAGAACAGTGAAAATCTAAAAAATTGTAGACTGGTGAATTTTTCAAAGGTTTCGTTTTATATATTTTCGTTTTTTCATTTTTGATTTTTCAATTTTACAAAAGATGAAAAATTGAAAAAGTGCAAAATCGAAAAATTTCAAGTCGAAGAATTGAAGAAAGGAAAGAATGAAAGATTGGAAAATTAAAAATCCAAAAATTGGAAAGAAGAAAAAACGAATCGTATCAAAAAATTAAAAATTGAAAATGGAAAATTACAAAATACGTCGAATGGAAAAAGTTAAACATTCTAAAAATTATAATTATTATTACATAATTTCTTTGAAATGAAAATTGGAAAAATTGCAAACCAAAAATTGAAGAAACGAAAAATCGAAAATTCGTTAACTGAAAAATGTAAAACTGAAAAAAAAAATTGTAACATCTAAAAGTTTAAAAATCGCAAAAATTTAAAACCGAAAAATTGCAAATCGAAAAACTGAAAAATCCAAATATTAAAAACATCACATCAAAAAAAAAAAAAGAAAAATTATCAGATCATAACAGTGAAAATCCGAGAAATTGAAAACTCGTCATAATAAAAGTTTTCGTTTTATACATTTCCGATTTTTCATTTTTGATTTTTCAATTTTACACAAGTTGAAAAATCGAAAAATTCCAAAATCGGTAAAGTGAAGAAACGAAAAATTGAAACTTTGGAAAATTAAAACTCGAGGAACTTAAAATCGAAAAACTGAAAAATCCAAAAATTGAAAATTTTCACACCGAAAAATTGAAAACTCGTGGATTTTCCAAAATTTTCGTTTTATACGTTTTCGAGAAATGAGAAATTGCTATCCAAAAATTGAAAAAGCGAAAAATTAAAAAATCTAAAAATTGAATAATAAAAAAATTGAAAAACCAAAAATTGAAAAATTTCACATCAAAAAAAAAGTGAAATCATGACAGTGAAAATTCGAAAAATTGAAAACTCGTGAATTTTTCAAAGATCGTTTTGTTTTAATTTTTTATTTTTTGATATTTCAGTTTTACAATTTTTCCATTATTTTTATTCCAAAAGTTGGAAAATTGAAAAACTGAAAAATCGAAGAATTGGCAAATTGGAAAAATGAACCATTAAAAATCGAAAAGTTGAAAAAATGAAAAAATTTAAATTTAAAAAGGAAAATATAAAATTGAAACATTGAGAAATTTGAAATCCAAAAATTGAAACTCGAGAAACTCAAATTGAAAAATTGCAAAATCTAATAATTAAAAATTCCAAAAGTTGGAAAATTGAATTGAAAAATTTTTATTTGAAATTTCGAAAAATTGCAAATCAATAAACTGAAAAATCCAAAAATTGAAAAATTTCACATCGAAAAAAAGAAAAACTGAAATCAAAACAGTGAAAATCTGAATTGCAAAATTTTTTATTCAATTTATTTTTTGAAGAATTTCAGATTTTCAACCTTAGATTTTTTAGTCCTTCGATTTTCGGATTTCGAGTCATAGAATTTTCCGATTTTTTTAATTTTCAATATTTCGATTTTGCAATACATACTTATTTTTTTTCGATTTCTCAGTTTTTTCAATTTTTCGAGTTCTTGATTTCCAATTTTCAAATTTTTCAAATTTTCATTTTATACAGCTTCGTTTTTTCAATTTTGAGTTTTCAATTTTCAAAAGTTGAAAAATCGAAAAATTGGAAAGAAGGAAACAAGAATCGAATAAATGATTTTTTTTTTAAAATCTAAAAATTGAAAATGGCAAACATTAAAATTCTAAAATTGGAAAGTTAAACATTCTAAAAATATAACTATAATTGCATATGTGAACTGGAAAATTGAAAAATGCAAATAAAAAAAAAACGAAAAATTAAAAAATTTAAAAGTTGAAAATCGAACAATTGAAAACAGAAAAATTGCCTATTGAAAAACTGATACATCCGAAAGTTCAAAAATTTCACATCAAAAATAAAGAGAGAAAAATTATAAAATCAGAACAGTGATAATAATCCGAGAAATTGAATAAACTGAAAAATTAAAAAATCTAAAAATTGAAAAACCAAAAATTGAAAAATTTCACATAAAGAAAAATTGTGAATCAGGACAGTGAAAATTCGAAAAATTTAAAACTCGTGAATTTTTCAAAGTTATCATTTTGTTCTAATTTTTTAATTTTTTGATATTTCAGTTTTACAATTTTGCAATTTTTCCATTTTTATTCGAAAAGTTGAATAATTGAAAAACTGAAAAATCGAAGAATTGCAAAACTGTAAAAATTTAAATTGAAAAACGGAAAAATATAAAATCGAAACATTGAGAAATTACAAATCCAAAAATTGAAACTCGAGAAACTCTAATTGGAAAATTGAAATGCAAAATTTTAATTTGAAATCTCGAAAAATTGCAAATCAATAGACTGAAAATTCCAAAAATTAAAAAATTTCACATCGAAAAAAAGGAATATAAAATCAGAACAGTGAAAATCCGAAAATTTGAAAACTCCAGAATTTTTCAAAATCTTTATTCTATACGCGTTCCTTTTTTCATTTTTGATTTTTCAATTTTACAGAAATTGAAAAATCCAAAAATTGAAAAATTTCACATCGAAAAAAAGAAAAACTGAAATCAAAACAGTGAAAATCTGAATTACAAAATTGAAGAAACGGAAAACTGAAAAAATTTAAAAAGAAAAATATAAAATCGAAACATTGAAAAATTGAACAATCGAAAAAATAAAGAAAATAAAAAATCGTAACGAAAAATTGAAAATTCGTGAAACTCAAATCGAAACACACCAAAACAATAAATATATATACGAGCACGTTATTACCCCCGCAGCAGCGAACATTTCGTTTAATTCGAGTATAGTGTAGTATATTGATTTTTTCGATGTTGCGGGGATAATAACAATTTACCACGTTTGCATCCAACCGTGCTGACGCAGAAAACTTGTTATTTTCAGCTCTTCGATCCAATAAGGAAGAGTCGGCCGACCGATTTGCACAAGGTGCTGCCAATCGAAGGTGACATCACTCAACCAGAATTGGCAATAAGTCCCAACGACAGGTTAACGTTGGCTCGCACAGTCAACATTGTGTTCCATAGCGCCGCTACAATTAAATTCGACGAAAAACTCAAACTATCGGTTACGATCAACATGTTGGGGACTCAGAGGTTGGTCGAATTGTGCAAGAGGATGACCAACTTAGAAGCTTTAGTAAGTACACATTGACTTACATGTAGTTCAAGTTCAAGCATAAACAATCCGTCACTGAATAATTAATCGCTAAAACAAGTCCCATTCAAGTCAGACTTAATGAGGATCAAATAATTTGTTGTTGACTAATCGATTGGTTTATGTTGTGTGCCGCATGAAAACATATCCCGGTCACGGCACCCGGCGCCTTCGCGTCTATAGTCGAATTCGCCGTGAAGTTGACGTTTTATTAACGAGATGCTATCATTAAAATATCTAAACACGCATGCAGCACGCGACTATCGAGGAGTTGGTTCTCTGCTCAGAAATTCTCATTCCAAGCGGATTGTTCTCATTCTCTGGATGAATTTTGAAGTTGTGTGAAATTGCAATGAATGATTTATTCGCGAAAGCGGTTGTTAGATGTTTGTTGTTCACGCCGCTGTTTAAGCGGCGCTTCCTGTGAACGCAGATATTTTGTTATCAATAATTCCGGGACGCGGATCGTGGGCTTTTTCGCGGCAGGTAGATACGGATGCGTTCGTTTATTGGAAGATACGTCGGCGTTAGCATTAAATTAAAAAAGTTTTTCAATTGAAAAGTAATTTCTTATGTATTGGGTTATACAGTGCTGGAGGATTTTAGGAGATGTGTTTGGAATTGATGTTGGGAAAGTGAGTGGATGTTGGACGATGAGAAGATTGTGGTGAAGTTTTTTTTGTAAATATCGTCGTTATTAATAAACAGAAAAGCAGAAATAAGTAATTAAAACAAATATAAATCTACGACATCCAAGTTTTTTAATGAAAATACATATTTTACATTCTTTAATCACCCATACTCCGGCACCGTCTATAATTCGAACGCATTATGTTACGAAAACACACTTGTTTGTTTGTGCACCCTATGCACTTGCCCTTACGAAAGGGACAGGGATGGCTCATGAGAATGTTGAAAAAATTATATTGTTTATTTCACAAAAAATGAAAATTTGGAAACATTCAGCAAGATATGACCTCATATCCAAAAATTCCATTACTAAATATTATTCCAGTTTTATCAAATAAAATACTCCTTCGCATCCGTGCTCAGTTTTTATTGTAGACATCAAAATTAAAAAAAAAATCAACTATATAACAGCATTATTTTTTTACCTTCGACCGATTTTTTGGTATCACAATTTTTCATTTTGTCATTTTCTTTCATATTTCAATTTTTCCATTTTTCAGTGTTTCGTTCTCAGAACATTTCGTTTTTTTCCACTTTAATTTTTTCAATTTTTCAATTTGCAGTTTTTCAATTTTGCAATTTTCGATTTTTCAGTTTCTCAATTTTTCATTTATTTCTTACTTTTTTCAATTTTGCAATAATTTTTGGATTTTTCAATTATCCAATTGTACGATTTTTTTGATTTTCAATATTTCGATTTATCAATATTGCGTTTTTCGATTTCGATTATTCCTTACATTTTTCAATGTTTCTTTCGTTTTTGTAATTTGTCGTTTATTCAATTTTTCAGTCTATGATTTTTAGATTCCTCGTTTTCCAATTTTTAAATTTTTCAATTTTGCGATTTTTGGATTTTTAATTATCCGATTTTCGGATTTCTTCTTTTCAATTTTTAGTTTTTCATTTTTTCGTTTCCTCAATTTTTCAAGTTTTTATTCCTCATTTTCCCGGTGTTTTAATTTTCGTTTTCTCTATTTGTTTCTTTGTGTTTTTTTTTTTAATTTTTCGTTTGTTCAATTTTTCAAATTTTCAATCTTCTATTTTTCGATTCCTCGATTTTTCAATATCTATATTTTTCAGCTTTGCAATTTTTGGATTTCACAACTATCCAATTTTACGATTTTTTTTATTTTCAATATTTCGATTTTGCAATTTTTCGTTTCCTTAATTTTTCACGTTCTTAATTTTTATTTTTTATTTATTCCTTAATTTTTCAATGTTTCTTTCGTTTTTATAATTCAATCATTCAAACTTTCAATCTATGATTTTTCGATTCCTCGATTTTCCAATTTTTAAATTTTTCAGTTTTTCAGTTTTTGGATTTCTCATTATCCGATTTTACTATTTTTTTTATTTTCAATATTTCTATCTATCAATGTTGCGTTTGTCGATTTTGCACTTTTTCAATTTTTCAGTTTATCAGTTTTTCATCTTTCGTTTTTTTAATTTTTCGAATTTTCAATTTTTCGTTTCCTTAATTTTTCAAGTTCTTAATTTTTAATTTTCATTTTCCCGGTGTTTTAATTTTTACATTCTCAATTTTTTATGAATTTTTCGTTTATTCAATTTTTCAAAATTTTAATCTTAAATTTTTCAATTCCTCGATTTTCCGATTTTTAAATTTTTCGTTTTTGCAATTTTTGGATTTTTCAATTATCCGATTTTCCGTTTTATGTTTTTCTATTTTACAATTTGCAGTTTTTGGATATTACAATTTTTCAGTTTCTCAATTTTTAATTTTTAGATTTTTCATTTTTTCGTTTCCTTAATTTTTCAAGTTCTTGGATTTTTATTTTTCATTTTCCCAGTTTTTTAATTTTTCGTTTATTCAATGTTTCAAATTTTCAATCTTTGATTTTTTGATTCCTCGGTTTTCCAATGTTTATATTTTTCAGTTTTGCAATTTTTGGATTTCATAACTGTCCAATTTTACAGTTTTTTTTATTTTCAATATTTCGATTTACCATTATTGCGTTTTTCGATTTTGCACTTTTTTTTCAGTTTTTCTTTTCCTAAATTTTTCAAATTCTTGGTTTGTATTTGCATTTTCCCGGTGTTTTAATTTTCATTTTCTCGATTTTATATCACAGTTTTTCATTTATTCCTTACTTTTTTCCATGTTTCTTTTGATTTTATAAATTTTAGTTTCTTCAATTTTTCAAGTTTTTTTTTCCATTCCCAGATTTTCCCATTTTAAAATTTTTCAGTTTTGCAATTTTTGGATTTCTCGATTTTACCATTTTTTTTTATTTTCAATATTTCGATTTATCAATATTGCGTTAAAAATTTTGAACTTTCGATTTTTAAGCTTATCAGTTTTTCATCTTTCGATTTTTCAATTTTTCGCTTCCTTAATTTTTCAAGTTCTTGAATTTTGTTTTTCATTTTCCCGGTGTTTTAATTTGCATTTTCTCGATTTTATAACACAATTTTTCGTTTATTCCTTACTTGTCTCATTCACTTTTACAATTTTTCGTTTATTCAATTTTTCAAAATTTCAATCTACGATATTTCGATTCCTCGATTTTCGAATTTTTAAATTTTTCGATTTTGCACTTTTTCGGTTTATCAGCTTATTAGTTTTTCATCTTTCGATTTTTTAATTTTTTCGTTTCCATAATTTTTCAAGTTCTTGATTTTTATTTTTCATTTTCTCGGTATTTTAATTTTCATTTTCCCAATTTTATATCACAATTTTACATTTTTTTCACTTTTGCAATTTTTGGATTTCTCAATTATCCGATTTCTTTAATTTTCAGTATTTCGATTTTACAATATTTCGAAAGATCATTTTTCAATTTTTCGTTTGTTTAGTTTTTCAATTTCATGATTTCCAGTTTTTAAATTTTTCAACACTTTCATTTTATACTTTTTCCGTTTTCCATTTTTTTTCAGTTTTACAATTTTGCAATTTTTCCACTTTTTTTGATTCTCAAAATTGAAAAATCGAAAAACAAAATAAAAAAAAATTAAAAATCGAAAAACTGAAAAAACGAAAACTGCAAAGTCGATAATCGCAAATCGAAGAACTGAAGAAACAAAAAATCGAAACATTGAAGAACTAAGAATCGAGAAACTTAAAAATTAGAAAACCCAAAAATTGAAAGATCGAAAAATTATAGAATCGTCAAAATTATAAAGTCGAAAAACTGTAACATTGAAAGATTCATAAAATGAAAAAATTAAATGTAGAAAAGCTGGAAAATAAAAGATTTAAAATACATTAATTGACAAATGGAAAAATTCTGAAATCCTAAAATTGAAAAAACGATGGACGAAGATGGAAAAATTTAAAAATTTCACATTGAAAAAAAAGATTAACTTATATAGAACTTTGGAAAATCGAAAAATTAAAAATATAAAGAAAATAGAAACCGAAACGAAAAATTGAGGAAATGAAAAATTAAAAAATCCAAAAATTGAAAAATTAAAAATTGAAAACTCGTGAAATTGCAAATTAAAAATTTGCAAAATCTAAAAATCGACACATTCAAAAGTTGCATAATGGAAAAACTGAAAAATTTTAAAATCAAAACTCAAAGAATTGTAGATAGTAAAACTGAAGAAACAAAAAAAAAATAAAAATTGGGGACACGGAAAATTAAAAAAATTGGAATTGAAGAAAATTATAAAATAGAACATTGAAAAATCGAAAATTTAGGGAAATGAAAAATTTAAAAATGAAAATTCTAAAAGTTGCATGTCGTAAAACTGAAGAATGAAAAAAACGATAGATTAAAAAATTGCAAATCGAAAAATTGAAGAATCCTTAAGTTGAAAAAATTGAAATTGAAAAAGCAAAAAATGATAAAATCAGGAGATTGGAAGATCGAAAAATTGAAAAAATAACGAAAATAAATACCAAAGCGAAAAATTATAAATTGAAAAATTCAAAAGTTGGAAAATTGAAAAACTGAAAAATTTAAACTTTAAAAATCTCGAAAAATTGCAAATAAAAAAAATATGAAAAATTGAAAAATTCAAAATTGAATTATCCAAAAGCTGGATAATCGAAAAAGTGAAAATGTTAAAATTAAAACTTTAAATAGTTGCAAACCTAAAATTGAAGAAACAAAAAAAAATGAACAATTGAAACTGAAAGTTTAAAAATTGAAATTGAAGAAATCAAAAATTATAAAATCGATACATTGAAAAATCGAAAATTTTAAGAAATGAAAAATCAAAGATTCGAAAATTGAAAAATTAGAAACTGAAATATCCAAAAGTTGGAATATCCAAAAACTGAAAAATTTTAAAATGAAACTTCGACAAGTTGCATTTCGTAAAATTGA